TTATTTTATTTTATTTTATTTTATTTTATTTTATTTTATTTTATTTTATTTTATTTTATTTTATTTTATTTAAATTTATTTAATTTAATTTAATTTTATTTAATTTTATTCTTTATCCAAATTATTAAAAATATCAGATGCGCATAAGCTCCTACAGTTTAATAGAGACAAGCTCTTTGCGATGGTAGGAGAGTATGGAATTATGCTTTAAATAATTCTTATGCAACCAAAGAAATTTTTAAAATTTACTAAAAAGTCAAAAATTCCATTTGGAAAATTTCAACGCAGGACAAGCACACACACACGCAAACTAACATTTCAGAAGCGCAATGCTGCTGTTATAGGAAATAGTTTGGTAGGCAAGTGGTTTAACGTACCTGTAAGTAGCTGCTTCCTGCTGCGCCAGCGAACCACTGCTACATGCTGCAAAGTTCAACCTGTAAAGTGGCATGCAACTAACAGCACGTGGAAGCAATGTGGCAATTTCGCGCATGAAAGCTGTTGATATGAAATATGTGCTGGCGAAAGAAAATAAAGTGTAGCCAACGATACTCAAAAATACCAAAAGCAAAGGAAAGTTGATCAGAGACCTCATGCCAGCTAAATATTTCCTTAAAAAAACAAAAAAAAATCCAAATATCAACTCTTTTCGTCACTGGCTGCCGCTACTGCTGCCAGCATAACTGCTCCCACTGCTGTTGATGACAAGAAATCAGTTGTGACAGCAGCTTCATATACACTCACACACACATACACACATACATGCAAATGCACACATTGCTGAAACTTACTGCTTCGCTATCAGCGCTCCTTTTGCCAGCATTTGCTCCTTTGCTTGCTGAAAAATCTCTCGGGCGTTCTATCGTTGCAACAGCTGTTGCCAGCAAGCATAAGCAAATATCCGTTCGCATGGAGGCATGCATATTTCCTTCCCTTGTTGCTGAGAATACGCTCTTGTTGTTGTTTTTGTAGAGTGAGTTAACATTTTTGGTAGTTGAGTTATTTGAAATTTTGTCGCTTTAAATAAAAAGGAAAAAGTGCCAGTGTGCGAACCCGCTGCTGTGTTGAGTAGTTGACATATTTTATATGATTTTCAAATTTTTACTATTTTTTGTTGGTGGGTTAAGTAAAAGCATGCATTTTTTGCTTTGAAATGGCATCCATAAAGGAAACTGAAATCTGATACCCATCAAATGACAGGGATAAAATGCAATATTTAAGGTATCGAAGTCCATATAAAAGTGATGGGTATCGGCAGCGGAGTGGTAAGCGTATGCCGTACTGCCATTCGTAAGTCTCGGATTCAAATCCTGCTGCTGTACTAACATCCAAAAGGTTATAGAAAATTAATTTCAAAAAAAATTATGCTAAATTTTCTAATTGCGGCCGCCTCTTGGCAGGTAATGTCGACTGCTCTGAGTATATTTTTGACATGAAATAAAGGCTCATCATAGAAAACCGTCAGTCGGCGTAGGCGGCTTAAAATAAACTGTAGGTCACGCCATTTGTTGCGAAAACTTCACATCGAAACACTTACCACAAAACGGAGGAGAAGCTGGGCTGAAAATAGCTTCAACGAACTGAGGATCGAACGAACTTCCATTTGGTATTTATTAAAAAATAATAATTCCGACTGAAAAGTGAATTCATATAATAGAAAAAATAATATATTTATTAACTAAAAAAGTATGTAAATGAGTAAAAAAAATATGATAAATGAATACCTACGGCGGAATAGTAGTTCTACAATCACTTGATGATGCAACCTTGAGGAGATTAAGTGATGCTCCGGCTGTGGGATGATATTTCCTCCTGTGGCTGGACCATACCATGTGACGCGTAAGGAATTAATTTGAGCGCTGCATCATGTGAGGTTCACAGCTGGAGTTTTGTTGCAGGAAATTTCAATTTTATTTTTTTTAAGTAGCAATTCGACATGCCTGAATAAACTAGTATTTAACTAGTTCGAAGCTGACACTTCGCAGTAAAAAGCCATGTTGAAAGTAAAGCAATAGCTTACATGGGATATAGAGCAAAGTTGTTCTGGTTAGTGCAAAAAATACAAATTAATTATATACTTGTTAAACACATTGAGAAAGAGAGCAGAGAGAAGAGCATCAAATGTTGCAATTTTGCTCTCTTCAAAATTTTAATCTGCTCTCTCACATACTTTAATATGTAAGCATTACATTTACGAATGTTCTTTTCACCTTTTTTGTTTAACCTACCTTTACAAGCCGCAGACTTTTATGGTTTATTAAACCGACATAACATGACATAACATGATTTTTTGTACAAAAAATTAAATTTTAGAAAATTTTAATATAATAATTAATAGCAATATGCCCGTATAAAAAAGTCGTATGTTCGATTGTAAAGATTTGTATTCCGAAAAGTTACCGACCGATTGATTTGAAATTTTCTTGGGGGGTGAGGCAGGTATTAAGGTTTTTGAAAAATTTTATTTTGTTTTGATTTCTGATCAAAAATTTTATGCCAAATTTTCTGAAAACTAAAAATAAAGTTTCAACATTTTCAGCAGCTTATTAGCTGATAATTCTTCTGCGTCTTTCTTCTGATTCTTCTTCTGCTTCTTACCACATAGATAGTTGATAAATGAAGCGGCTAACGAAAAATTGGTACTAGAGTCCCGTGCGACCTTAAACCACCATTCGAACTGGTCTTGGCTTGTCAGCTGTTGTGCTCAGTAAAACGATCAAATCCGTGATGTAAATAAAGCCCGCGAGAACCCCCAGAAGAATGGACTTATTACGCCTGGATTTTCGTTGAGTTTAATGCCCTGGAACATTTAGGAGTTCTAACTGCTGCGTTTGGTGCAACCTGCTGGAAATTCAGTTGGCTTTTTTCTCAACAGGGGGATAACTATACTCTTCGGGCAGTTGACCAAGCATGGAACTATTCGGAAAAAAATGTAATTTTGGTGCGTGTTACTTGAAATTCTGTACCTTCGTGGCTTTTTGCTCAGATTAAAAGGAAAGTGGACCAGTGGAATACTTTGGCCCAAAGGCCCCAAACCAAGTGCGTTTTGCAAGAAATATAAATGAAAGTATACGGCAAAAAGATCACCGACAGATTAAGAAAATTATTACGATTTGGATTTAAGTATAGATAGTGCTCAGGTTACAAGCTGAACTTGGTTGAGAATAGGCATAGATCCGAATGGCGCGCGTGGTTCACTACGAGGCATTCTTATTGAAAGAGTGGGTCACTTCTTCTTTACCCACTCAGCCAAATAAGTAGGAATATCAATCTGTATTTTCGAAGAAAAGGACTAATTTTGAGATGCAAAGAAATATGGTATTTTTTTCGGGATGAATGATCGGATATTTATTTCAATGCAAAGAGGAAGATGTGTCATTAATAAGGGGCAATAACATCAGCCAAGCGGCCAGTACCATATGATTTTTATGAAATTTGCCAACACAAAATCGCAAGCACTGAGAGCTGCTGTATGCCCTCTGTAGCTTCACGAATTCCCTGTTTGATGTGTTGAATTTATCTTATCTTGCACGTGACTCTAAAAAGGGTTATCACAAGGCGTTAAATCAAAAAGATCTCGGTGACCAATTGCAATCACCTCTTCGAGAGATAACACATTGCGGAAACTTTACCCTAAACATCCATGGTTTCGTTGCTTGTGTGGCATGTAGCGCCATTTCGTTGAAAGTGAATGTTGCCCAGATCAAAACCAAACAATTTTGGCCATTAATCAACACTCGATAGCGCAATCCTTTCACCGTGACTATTTTTTTTTTCAGCCTTCTTCACGAAAAAGTAAGGTTTAATCAAACCGCCGTTCTATAAGTTGCACTAAACCGTTACACGTTGGAGAGACTTTTCAACAACAAATCGTGGGTTTTTCGAGCCACAGGTGTAATAAATCCTGGGCTTCCCGAGCCACAGATGCAATAAAGCTTGTGCTTCTCGAATCATCGATGCTTCGGGTTTGCTTATTGATGTAGCCATCAAAGTGGAAATGCGCCTCATTAGTCGAGATAATTTTTCGTTGAAATCCCAAGTCATTTTCCTGCTTTTCAAGGACTCAACCAGCAAAGGCTCGCCACGTTATAAGACAGCTACTGTGGACGGCAAAATGTCGATTGATCGGAGTTTAGCACGCTTTACAATACCCGAGCTGTAATTTAAGGACATTAAAGCAGCACATTTAGTACAGTTACTTACTTAGAATATAATTCTCAATCAACTAAACTCTGCCCGCATATTGCAGAAGCCTCTGGCAGGAATTTTCTAGCAATAATTTCAAAATTTCTATTTATCACGACTGTCTCGATTTTTGGCAACAAAGGAAATTCTCTAATTATAGACTTCAAACTTCACATTGTATAAAAGAAAACAAGCAACAACAACAACACTCAAGCCTCTAATCTCTCTAAACAAAAGTACCTATAATTGCAATTCTCTTACTTTTTGCTACATCCCAATAAATATCTTGAAACAAAAAGTCCCTTTCTTCATATTTCATTTAATAGTTGATTGTCTTACAACATTTTTAATGACAGCAAAGTAAACTTGAGTGTCACAAAAGCAAAAATTAAACGCTACAACAATAATAGGTACCAGCGTAACGGCAATGTAATGAGTACTACTGCTAGCGCAGCAGTGTGTCCTTTGGTATTAAAGGAGAATATTTTGCTATTTACTTTTAACATTTTTACGATTGTCGAAATTAGTTGCACTTGCTGATGTGCACGACGTACGACACAAATGCGCAATGGAGTAGTGCACGAGCGTGCATATAAATATATTTTTGAACATATATATATTTTTTTTACTACTTTTTCTACTAAGTCTTGCGAGCTATTGTAATATCTATTGTAATACGAAAAGATGTTTTGTTGAAGCTATATATGTATGTATGTATTAAGAAACATTCATAGAAACTGTAGGAAAAATTTATTTATTTATACCACTACTTACTGCTTTTTCCCCTCTTCTTCTTTTTCTTGTTCTCATTACAGGCAAACACACGCGAGTGCAAGATGCGCAGAAAATCGACGAAAATGGTAATTAAACACAGAGTATGAAAGGAATGATTTTTATTTTTACTTTTTTTTCTCTGCCTTTTAAGTCTAATATTAGTATACTGAGGAATGTCCATAGATAAACGGGTAGCTTGGGAACAAAAGCGCTGTAGACAAATAAACGTATACACCAAAGGCAAGGTTTATAGAAATTTTTTAATTTTGTTTGTCAAAAAAAAAAAAAAAAAAAAAAAAAGCTCCCAATAAATGATAGAGCGCTGCACAAAAAGCCGAAAATAAAAATCAGCGCACAATGTAGAGCAAAAAAAAATAAAGTGAATTCTACACAAAGCCTGCAAGTAGTGAAAAATTTTTGTAGAGACAAGAATTTATGCGGGTTACACAAATAACGTTCGCGCTTAGAGCGCACACGAAAAGGCCACCTGCAGGCTACTTGAGTTGTGTGGGTGCGAGTGGGATGCAAGAGGTACAGAGAGTGGAGAAATGTTGCTCAAAGCACCACATCTACGCCTTCGCTTCACTCCCTTACACACTCCCTTACTCACTCACTCACTCCCTCACTCACTCACTCATTCACTCACTCACTCTTTCATTCCTTCACCGCGCGCCTCCGCTGCGCCGGTCGCTTGTCGCTTGCCGCTTGCTGCTTTAATTGAAAATGCTCGTGTAACTGCAACTTTGTCGCATTAAATGTTTTTGCAACAAAAGTTTTTACCAGCGCTGCAATAATGTAATCGTAAAATCAGCAAGTTGACAAACATTTCTCTGCAATTACTGCTCTTAAGAAAGTTTGCCGCTTTGGAATGCCGCAGCTCAAGACTGCTGCGAGTGGTGGGTGGTGGCGTTTTTGAAGAAGAATAATGTTTTATGCAACAAAGTTTTCTGTAATACCGTTAGAAATGATTGATGTCTGGACGTTTAGGTATTTTTAATATTTTTTTTTAATTTAATTTCTTAATTGATTTAATTTTCTTTTTTTTTTTGGTATTAATTATATCCTTTGGAGTGTACTGCTTTAGTCGTTTTAAAAAATATTTTTAAGTAATTTAAATTTTCTCCAAACATAATCTTTTAGATGCTACCGCACCTGGCTTTCCCGAACCGATAAACAATGTGACCGTATCTGTGGGTCGTGATGCATTGCTGGCGTGTGTTGTTGATAATCTGAAAGGATATAAGGTAAATATTGAAATCTAATGATTATACTTATATATACACTGGTGGCCAAAACTCAAGCAACCGAAACTCTTTGACACAGTCAGCCGCGCTGTGCTGTGGTTGAAAATGTTTGCTGTAGTTTCGAGTTCAAAACTCAAGATTAAGTAAAGGCTTCCGCAGGCTGGTGTCCTCTCCCTGCTATAGTTTAATAATTATAATCCATTACTCCGTCCACCACAAGAGTAGATCTCCTTGAACCCATATGCCAATAAGTGCTCGATATTTCCTTGTCTCTCTCCGAAAAAAACTGCTAACTCATTGATCTTGCCAACCTCTGCACGGCGCAACAACTAAACCACAATCAAAAAGATCTTCAAACATACTCTTCACTAGCTGAATGACGGCGTATCGACTCGACTCGAATTGAATATGAAATTTCCCCATAACGAGATCTCAGCAAAAAATATTCCCAAATTACTGAGAGCCTGTACTTCTTCGTGCTGCATACGACTGTGCAGAAAAGAGCAGTTTCAAAATCGTCACATCGCTACTCGGCAGCATCTGAGGGATAGATAAAGAAACGCTGCGCGCAACTTAGAAGGTCGATCGACCGAGCATTAATTACGTTGCACTGATTTGGTCACCAGCCACTGATGGAATGCTGATGTAGAAGCTGCAAGCTTGCCAAAACACCGCCACGAAGATCGTAACGTTAAACCTGCTGGTGTCTTCTACGCATCACTTGCACAGTGCAACATTTATGCTCCCAATCAAGACCCAATATATGCTAGGATGCTGCTGTAGAGACAGTACGACATAATGCATTCTTAAAAGACCATCCACAGAAAGTAGAACTTTCATTAGCTCTGTTTCAGCGAATGGCGCCATCTCAATCCCATCCAATCACCATCCATGGTAGATAAAAAGTTCGAGCTGCCTCGCGTGGCCTGAGTAATACTGCCGTAGTTGGCTTAGCTTCAATGGCTCCTCACACGACACTACTCAGTTATTTTTATGTCAAGAAATAAATACCCATCTTTCTGTCACCCATACAAGCGTGCTTCATATTGATTATTAAATCTCACGTTAGTTGACCTCGACTACTTCGGACTATCTTGGCTGCTCTTTACCTTGGTTGTAGGCAGCTTTCTCGATATTGAGTGGCTTTTGATTATACTTTAACGCAGGCAATAAGTAGATCTTTAACCCAGTAAAATATGCGTGAAAGGAGCGTTCGCAGCAGGCGGTCCTCAGCAGAGTCACTAAGGCATACCCAGCCACTCCACCGCGGCGAAAACTGCGATAAGGCTTTATCACCATAATCATGCGAGCTTAAGCGTTTCTTAATTGGCTTTCACCAAGCTTTTCGCTAGCTGTTTACCATGTAAAGATCATTAGGTTGTTCGAAGCCGATGGGTTAAGACTAGAGAAAGGCTAAAAGCAAGCTTGAATGAAATCGCAATCGGCGCTATGATTTGTGTGCGCTAGAGCTGAGATAAGAAAGCCTGACCTCACTCTCAATCTACCAAGCCCGCGGTTTTGTGTGATGGGTCACAGCTGATCTATAGATAGCTATTAAGCTGATAAGTTTGCAGAACTGAGCCAGTATTATTGGGAAGAAGTCAGCTGAAAATATTTCAAGTTTCGTATGATCTTCTGCTGAATATATGGGTCAGCTTACAGGACGCTGAGAAAATATCACCACAACATGCGTAACCATAAGATTATTTCAGCCCAAGATGGATTAGACAATATTAAGGGGTCTTCTAAAACTCATCAAGTCACACTTAAAGCTTCTGTTAGGAAAACTGACTGGTCACAGTCCAATAGACTTTGATATGGTCAACCTGAATTCGGGTATTTTAATAAACATTTTTCGATTTGTTTGCTATTACTTTGACCTATAAGAAACTGGCAGACTTAGCTTAACAAACGGTAACTAAGAAACTGTTTAATTAGAGCCCAATATTTGAACAGTTTTGGAGCTAAAGAGGATTCTCAAAGCTACCACATGAGTAATAAGTTCAAACTCAAAGTTAATTCTTATTTGACGTCCGCCGTATTCGGTACTCAGCAGTGTGATCAAATCAGTATTCGAAAATATAGAAGATTAATTTTTCTAATTTCAGTCGCCCCCTAAGCGGGACTCTCAGCCTCACAGATTGTTTTTCCGATATGTTTTAAGAGCCCCTTCGTCACAATGTCGAGGTATAGATGACACTGAGGAATTGCATTTCTGATTTATTAGTCACTCATTGCATTAAACAGGCAGTGACTTTGGACTCTGAATTAATTTTAGCTCTGGATTGGGAGGCCATCGAATGCCAACCACAACTCAACTTGTCGACTATTTTGATGCTTCAATATTAAGTTTTTCATTGGCATATGAATATAAAGCAAAGAGTGATTCTTGCTAATCAGAGTTGTTAATAGAAAGTGGCGTCTGATTTGGTCTCATAAAAACCTTCCTTCTCTCCATTCAGTGTGTCAGCCACCATTATTAAGTGCTTCCCAGACTCTTGATTTGTTTCATAACAGAATTTAAAACAAAATAATCTGACGAAAGATCATAAAATTAAGAAGTAAAGTCATTGGAGATGGTTTGAGTTTCACTGCTTCAATTTTATATAATAAATTAAATAATAACTCAAGATGAGAATTACAGAATATATTCAAAGTAACCATCAATAAACTCAATCTCTACATATCTAAATTATTTCTAATAATTTGAGCTACTCAGCAACGTTATTTCCTGAAATCTACAACCGAGAGCAATGTAACGACTAAATTAATAAGGGAGATAGTTAATGTAAAATATTAACTGATGCACTTTATTCATATATATATTAACACATATATATCTAATAAGTAAATAGATTTTAGGAGCATATTTGCAACTATAAATATATCCCTATCGAATTTACGAAATTTCTCAAAATTCAGCAGTAGAATTATTTTACGAATCATCGGTGGGTGGCTGGTATGTTTCATTGAATGCATAAATTAGCAACTGTCGATTAAATGTTTTCAGCATAAATTTATAAACGTTCCAGATTGTTACAAATAGAGCGTCAGCTTATACACATACATGTATAAGTTATTAACAGTAATGTACTAACTGAAACGTTGGTATTATGCAATGCATGTGTACGTGGCGTATGAGCAACATTTCTGAATATGAATATGGCATAGTTACACACATAAATGAAATATTAATAAATATATGTGCAGGTATTTGCAAATGTTCACCAAATCAAACATTACAGCATTTAAGCAGAATTTTTGTGGTTATATGCAGGAGCATAGGTATATCAGTTGAAGAGTAGAACAAAGAGCGGTAAATGTCTCAATCAAATTATGGCAGCAAACTATTGAAAATTTGGCAATTTGAAAGTGGTATTTGTATATTATAATCTGGTACCATAATTATAAACCACATATGTATTTTTATTTAACTGCTCGTCTTACACATTTCCTTTGCTCCCTTCCAGGTCGCTTGGGTACGAGTGGACACACAGACAATACTCTCCATACATCATAATGTCATATCGCAGAATAATCGTATCAGTTTGAGCTACAATGATCATCGTTCGTGGTATTTACATATCAAAGAGGTGGAAGAAAGCGATCGCGGTTGGTATATGTGTCAGGTGAATACAGATCCCATGCGTTCACAAAAGGGCTATCTACAAGTTGTAGGTAAGTTAAGAAAATATATAAATAATTAAAAAAAAAAAACTAAAAAAATTAAAAAGCTAAAAACTATTTTAAAAAATCCAAAAAATCATTTAAAAATAAAAAAAAATAAAATAAAAAGAAAATTAGAAATGTCTTAAATGTCTTTAATATAACTAAATAATTTTTTTTATATTATAATTCTGTATTAGAAAATTTCATATACAATATTATATATTTGAAAACGATATGACCTACATAATATCTACTTCTCCTATCAGTACCACCCGTCATCATTGAGAGCCTGACCAGCAATGATATGGTTGTGCGGGAAGGTCTTAATGTAACTTTGATGTGCAAAGCACGTGGTTATCCTGAGCCATATGTGATGTGGCGGCGCGAGGATGGCGAGGAAATGCTTATCGGTGGCGAACATGGTGAGTTAAACATTTTTTTCATTTGGTGCAAATAAAACCCTTTGGAGCTTACATAATAATATTATTATACTATACCGATTTTTTTTAATTCGTAATATTTTATTTATATAATATATATTTTCTTCTATTTTAATTTGATTTAAATCAATTTCATTTATTTATTTTCCATTTAATTTCTTTTTATGTTTTAATTCATTTAATTTTATTTTATTGTAAACTAGTTTATATTTTTTTATATTAATTAATTTATTTATTTATTATAAAATAATAAACGTTATTATATTTTATAATAATATGTTCTTAATTACTAGTTATTTTTTTAAGTTTTGTTTGACTACATTTAATTCATTTTCAAATATATTTTTCTATATAATTAATTAAATAATTTCAGTTTAATTCATTTTCATTTATAGACTTTATTTCCGTTTATTCTATCCCCTTAAGGGCTAAATTTCATTTGTTGGCGACAGCTCAGCCACAAAACAATAATCTACATATTAGTTATCTTATTTTATTTAAAGTGTAAATATTATATTGTATTCTTTTTTATTTCGTTTTATGTTTTTTATATATTTCTTTTTTTCTTTCATTTTGCATTATTTTACATTCAATATTTTTTTCTCATATTTTATTTTATCTCATTATATTTATTTTAATTAATTTTTCATTTCATTTTGTCTTGCTTTCTTTTATGATATATTTAATATGTATTTGTATTTATTTTATTTTTTTAATTTTGTTTAAGTAATTTTATTTTATTCCATTTTATTAATATAATTTAATTTTAATTAAATTTAATTTTTTTTAATATTTTTCCATTTTTTTTTTTTAATATTTTATAAATTATATAATTATATTTAAACTTTTCTCATTTCTAAATTATTTTAATTTATTTCAGTTAATTTTATTTTTTATTTTACTATTTTATTTGATTCAAACTTATTCTAGTTCACTTTTTTGTTTTATTATATGTTTTTTTATTGGTTCATTTTATTTTATTTTAATTATTATTAATTTTTATTTTATTAAAAAAATATATTTGACGCTTTGTTACTGCTGAAGCTATATTCGGCCGATATTACTTTATTAATTATAATTTTGATTAATTTATTTTATTTTTTTCCATTTTATTAAATTTCATTTTAATTTTTAATTTTATTTAATTTTTTTAATGTTTAATTATTTTCATATATCACATTTTATATTTTTATATTTAATCTTTTTTAATTTCTAACTTATTTTAATTTATTTCAATAATATGTGTTTATTATTTTTTTATTCTATTTGATTCAATTTTATTCTAGTTTACTTTTTTATTTTATCTTTTCTATGTTGTTTCATTTTATTTTATTTTATTTTATTTTATTTTATTTTATTTTATTTTATTTTATTTTATTTTATTTTATTTTATTTTATTTTATTTAATTTTATTTTATTTTATTTTATTTTATTTTATTTTATTTTATTTTATTTTATTTTATCTTTTTTATTTTATTTTATTTTATTTTATTTTATTTTATTTTATTTTATTTATATTTATTTCACTGTAGGCTATATGAAATTTCCTTCTCAACTGAATTTTAAATTGCGTAAAACATTAAATCTTCCAGTAAACGTCGTTGACGGTGAGTTGCTGCACATTACGAAAGTGAGTCGCCTACATATGGCCGCCTATCTCTGCGTAGCCTCAAATGGAGTGCCGCCATCCATTAGCAAACGAGTCCACCTGCGGGTGCAATGTAAGTATTTATAAAAAGTTGAAAATTATTTATTATTTGATATATTAATTTATACAAAAAGTTTGTGGATAAAAACTAATCCTTTTGTCAAGGAATTAAATGTTTTTACAAAATTTTAATGGAAAATCAACAACTCTCATATCAACTCATTATAAATTCATAAAAATAGTAAAATAAAAAGGTGCCACATTAGTTGGTGTGCGCAACATTTCGAATCATTCATTGCTGACATTATTCACTTTTTTGTCGAAGTTTTTGCCGTGGAATAACTTTTTCCCTTCAACCATGGCCGGTGAGTGGTCAAAAGCAGCAAAATATTTTAATTAAATTTGGCTGCCAGAAATTAGAATTGCCAAAATTGCAGCAAACAATGCCGCATACAAAAACAGAAGTCACACATACACGCAATAATGCATACATATTCTGCAAACAAGCCTGCCGCTTGTCACACCCTCCCCCAGGCACACACAATCACTAATGGCAACTCCCAACCAATTTTGGCAAACGAAATTTTCAACTGCGCACAGTTAATTCTTTTCTCTTGTTGTTGTTGTTGTTGTTGCTTTTGTGTTTTCCTTTTTAGACACTATCAATTTTACCACAATTTGTGCAACATGCTTGGCAGCCGCGGCAATTGCACGTTGCACGTTCATAACATGCCACAAGAGTAGCTAAAATTACAGTGAGTCGAAAGCAACCATTTGCATTTGTTGTTGCTGTTATACCTTAACACGTATTCAGTATTCCACTGTGTGGCTGATATTAAAATATTTATAATTACGGTTTTTATTGTATTGGTTTTACGGTGATTAGCATGCAACTACTACATGCATATATACATAGAAACTCTAAGCGCCTTGCTCGCCGCATATCAATTGTTTAATTAAAACTTTTGATGCCACCGAAATATCCACCAACAATTGTTGGTTTTGCTTCTGCTTACGGCGTTTTTGTTGTTGTCTTAAAACAATAAATGCTGATTGTGGCAGATTTTACGCGTTCGCAATTTCGTTTTTAATGCCAAACGTGATTTAATGAGTTTTCCCTCATTGGCGGATATTAGAGAAATTAAATATATATAATTAACCGTTAATATTCAGTTTGCTCATGAAGTGTCAACTAAATGTATTGTTTAATTTGAAAGTTGATTATCGAAAACAAAATTTCTGCGGATATATGGGTAGTAAGAGGAAGCTGATCCTTTGCGAATGCTCCGCTCTTTGGAGGAGTAGATTGAAGTCTCTAGAGGCGACTAGCTTTGAAGACTTGAGGGAGCGATTATACGACGATTTCTCAGTTTTATAAACTTCAAAGTTTGGTTTGATTAGCGGGTGGGAGTCGCTGGAGCCTCTTCTTCTTCTTAATTGGCATAAACATCGCGAACCGAATCATTAACAAAAATCGTTCTAGTAGTTCTATCCCCACGTCGGTCGGTGTTAATGCTTTAAACGAGTTGAACGCTTTACTATTCCACTGCTTCCAGAGCTGTCTTCATTTTTAAATGAAGAAATTACTAGATAAAGAGTAATCTGGATCTTTGTGGATTCTGGCGGAGCGCGCTCCGTTGCTCAGTCTCTGTTTAGGCAGCCATATAATCCCCGCGGGGTTGCCTAATGTTGGCTCAGAGGTAACACCGTTTGTGTAGAGCGAAAGGTAGACTTAAAAGCGCCAAAGAGGTGGGGAGTGTCGATGCTGCTTTCATTGGTCTTCTTCAGATTTTTTGCAGGTACTAATAAGTTAATTGACGGTGGTTCATTCCTGGCAAATCCGGTTCAATTCCTGGCACAATATGTGCGATGGAACCATCTAAGCGAAATTGAAAATTCTCAGTCCACGATATCTGGCGCTTTTAAGTTATTAAATTCCAACAAAAAAGCATACTTTCGACGGGCGAGTGTCTAAATACCTCAGCCAATAGGACATCGGCGTAAGATACTTTGTCACTCTGTTAGTTCCCAATCTCTGCTGAAGGATGCAGCAGACCACCCATCATAAAGTCGTTATACTGTGGTCTGTCACCCCCTTAGTCCACACTAGAATGTTCTCTGAAATGCAACATGCCATGAGTTGACATATTTTTTCCTGGACATCGAGCATTTCTTCTAATAAGCTCTCCCTTTTTCAGTCAGCAACTTCGTTTAACTCTCTCTCTCTCTCTTCTCTTTTTTATCACTTCCCTCTCTTGTTATTTAGGCCACTGTGTACGTACTCTGACCATTTGCAGCGCTGCAAGGCAGGCGGTCAGTCTCTTTACGGCAGTTTGGCACACCTACCTCATTGTACTCTTAGCTCTTACATTGTTCTTGTCACATTTGTTTCTTTGGCGGTTATATGCAGGAAACTTGATCAATTGCTCTTATGTTTATGGGTGTTCTCAGAGAGCAGAAATACAAAACCGTCAAATTGTGTGTTGTGAATTCAGCTTATTTTAACTTGCTGCACAGAAATGGCAAGCAAAGCTGATCAGCTAGAACATATTTTGTGTTTTCTTTCCATGGAGGCTTTGTTTTCTGAGCGCATCTCTAAAATGCCTTCTTTGTCCATCCTAGCGTAAAAATCGCCAAACGCAATTTGGATATCGCTACTTGGCAGCGCTGCTCATAAGTATGATTCAGGCGCTCATAAAAGTCGTCTTAGGTCACATATTCCTGCTCCTCCCTCGAGGATTAAACGCAAATCATCCGAGGTTTTTTTCTACCTCTCATTCGAACATATTTGTTATGCAATGGTTCTTAAACCCTACGTATAACCATAGGCCACTATAAAAAAATATTTTTGAACCCAGCAAAGTTTGGCACTCCCAGCCCATTTAAAGTTCTTTTGACTTGTGATTGTGATCTTCTGTGCTCAGGATACCGGGTGTTAAAATTGTCAAACTAAATTTCGATTTGTTTCCTTTTAAAGAATATCTTACACACTCAGCTTCCATATTTCCATTCTAAATCCATTAACACTGCTTCTAGATCCACTGCATCCTGATGTCTTGTTTTCAAAGAAGCAATATTTTCTGCGAAGTTTAACTCTTTGACAGCTGTTACTTGATTTTTGCTCTGTTTGTCATTTCATAATGAACAGACTTACTCCAGCTTGTATCGTGCACTGAGTTCAGCTTTCGGTCGATATAATCGTACAGCAGATTCGGCAATTCGGCAATTCGTGGCTCATTCTCTCACCACGCTCACTTTGGTGGTTAGTGCACACTCTCAGATATGTAGCACAGTGTGCACCGAGAATAATATTACTGCTGTGGGGCGGACTATCGAAGAAGACCCGAAGGAGTCCATCTGACGTCGCGCAGAAAAATTGAAGTTTGTTTATTCACTTTATGGAAAATTTTGTGTTAGCATCTAAGCTTACAAAATCCCACGTGTGCAAGAATTTAAGCCTATCGAACATCAAGTGCGTTGCACGCTCGGTAACTGAGACCAAAACGAGATGCTCACCGATACTGATGCTAACAAGAAAACTTTGTTCAGCGTTGTAACTCGCTTCTGGTTGAGCAGGTAGGTTACTTGGTGTGCTCTATGGGTAGAGGAAATCATGTTTCCGACAATGGGGAACGCCTTTAGAGCCATGATTAATGACTTTCTCGTAACCGAATTGGAGAGTTACGATGGAAACGGGCTTTGGTTTCATCAAGTTGGCACTTAGAACCTTACAGCCCATCGAAAATGACAATTCATTTAAAAGAAACTTTTGTTCAGGTATTATCTCTCGTTGTGGGGCTCCAAGTTTGTACGATTTAAGACCGGTGGACATTTGTTTGCGAGGTCATGTGAAGTCGCTCGTCTAATGCTGAGAGAAGTGACGCCTTGGAAGAGAACGGCGTATTATTGCTGACATACGGCGCCGATTGCTGCGAAAAGTAGTCGAAAAGTGAGCCTCTCTACCACGGTCAGTTGGCAGCAATTATTTTGAAACAAAACATAAAAAGAAAAATTTTATCTTTATAAGAAACTTAAGTTCTTGGCTCCAACATTTAACTATATCCGTTTCAATTCTGCTTGCAATTCACATGTCTGACAAAAAACACCCTTTATAAGCATGGTTTAAGACTTAAATCATTTCAAATTTAACTACGATTGCTTGATGGGTAATGGGCAATACCAAAGTCAGCCATTATCGAAAACATTGTCGCCGGTGCCGTTGCCAAAAATTGGTCAAACTGAAACTAAGTAACCGAAATTCACCGCACCGCACGCGTACGGGCGCAAGGAATGTTCTGCTCATCAAAATGCTGTAACAACTGCTGCAGTGGAATATAGGACAAACACACATACATATACATGTATATCTTCATGTACACTGTTATACAATATATACTGTTATATACATATAAAGCAACAAACTCGCTGTAGCGTCAGTGTAACATCTACCTACTCACTCGCCCACCGCCACCAGCACCGCAACGTTGACACCCACGCTGAGTGGGAGAAAGTCAGCAGCTGCACTCCGATGTGGCATACTTACCACAGCAGCGACAATATTTTGTCCTATTCTTCTCATACCCAACTACTTTCCTGTACATTTACAAGCGAAATCCGCGCGCAGCTCCTTCAAAGCCTGGCTGGTGCTTGGTTCGTTGGAGCGTTGTAAAGTCAGCCGCAGCGTAAACGCGACACGAAGAAGTGTAATAATTTTTGGCATATCGGGGTTGTACGTGATTTGGACGGGTGTCGGCGGGATTGCAGGCACATATATACGTATGTATGTATGTATGTATGTATGTATATATGTTTGTATGAATGCTTGGTTGGCGACGTGTTATGTCGAAACACAGCAGAAATGCATTCATTCATTAATTAATTTCAATTAAAGGTAATGTTCGGCCACACATATGACACTTTCTTGCCACGTCTGCCCCTTTTAGTTGGTGCTTTCATTACAAAAAGAGAGCTCTGCTTTAATTATCGTGAAAAATAAGTCAAAATGGTATGTAGATGGGGAGAGCATTCTCGTGTTATACTCCTTTTTATCACCCAGACGATGTATCACCTAGAAAAATAGCAAAGCGTACACTCCGAGGACCGAACATCAACTGGGACCACCATCTTGTAACAGCGAGGATACGCACCCGTATCTGCGCAGCAAAGAACGCTCGTCAACAAACACAAGACAGTCGAACGGGGTTCAACTCGACTTGTACTATTGCGCTCAGAGAACAGTCATCAGCTAGCAACTAGGTGTGAGCAAACTATAAGACGGAATTTCAAGCTCCCTAGTTACAGCTACAAATGAAACAATCCGTTTCGAAAAGGTCGTAAAAATAGCTGGTACAGTGAGGACTGCTGTGTCGGAGTAGAGAGAAAACAGACTGCCTATCTCGCAACCTTGCGATTGACCACTACACTTGTGGGATGGCATAGATACGGAGAGCTGAAGAGGGAAGCGAAAAGCATTTGCAGACAAAATAAGAAGAATTCGTAAGTATGAAGAATTTGAGAAACTGACAGACAAAGGAAATGCTCGAAGATTCTATGAAAAGATACGATGACTTACGGAAGACCTGAGCAAACACTTGAAGGATACGGAGAGGTGATCTAGTGATGAATGCCCATAGTATGCTGAATTTATGGAGAGAACACTTCTCCAGCCAGCTGAATGGCAGTCAAAATGGAAAATGGAACACCCGGAGATGGTGAGCCCGAAATTCTAATTGAAGCAGATTGAAAAGACGTTCCGATTCGCCTAAAGTACAACAAAGTGGCGGCGATCGATGGATTACCGGCCTAGCCATTCTAATACAGCGGTGAAGGGCTGATAAAGTGCATGCATCAGCTCTTTTGCAAAATATAGTCGGATGAAAGCACGGCCGACGCTTGGAACCTAAGTGTGCTCTGCTCCATCCAAAAAATAGGCGATTCCACAGACCTTATCAGTGTGGCTGCAGACCAACCGCTGACTAGCTATTTACTCTAAAAAAGAGGATCGGTAAACCACCCCTTCGTCGATTATAAGCACGAATTCTGCCTCTACGCCGCCATGTCGGAATTTGGAATCCTCGTAAAACTCCCTCGAAGAACCACACCAAGCTCTACAAGTCACTCATTCTTCCAATCCTGCCTTTTGTTGTGAAGACATGGACGACGACAACTTCTGTCTTGCCTAAGACTTATGATCCTCTAAATCTGCCAGTAAAGAAGAAGAAGAATGACAGTCAAAAACTATCCCCACTTTCGTGAACTTTTAAATATTGATCCAACCTTTGAAAAAGGAAGAAACCGAGAACAAAATGAAACTTGTTTTAGATAATGAAATATTATATATTCAATATGAATGTCAGAAAGCAGAAGTAGCCATCCACTCCCTTACGAGGATGGAGTGAGAAGCAACATGACTTCACTTACCGCGCTCTCTCCAGATGTTCCTTTTCTTCTTAATTGCCGAAGACATGGCTGGCGTCACTATTGTTTAATCCTGTTCTTGTCCCATCTATAGCCAGCTTTTTTTGTCGCAGTGCAATTGTAACTTAATGGGAACGAACATTCCAACTGCTTTCCCTTAAATTTTGTGAATTTTTCGTAACGAAAAATTAAAAGAATCGGAGTCCGTTACGCATTGATTGCATACGGCCGTTGTTGTATTGCTCTAAATGTTAGAAAACTATGTTCTTAAAATTGCTTTCTCAAGAGGGAAAATAAGACTTCGCCTTGCTCTTTATAATTAAAATTTGATGTAGTACTTTGCCGGCATCGAAAAAAAGAATTGGGATCACTCAGCTATCTCGTCCGAATCTCTAGCGTCTTTGTGTTTCTTGTTTCAGTTCATTTGACAGACAAAAAGCTTAACGTTTTTAAAGTTTTTCGCCTTTGGTTGATTTGCTTAACAACTTTTTATACGAACTTCCGCTTGCAAAATATTGTAGTCATCTTGCAGACTGAAGAGTTGTTGGGGTTCCACTCTACACTAAAGATTCGGCACCTGAAATATCGTGATTTTTGTATCCAACTAAGTTGTATGCTATCTTTTCAAGCCGCCCGCTTCCGCGACATCTGTTTCTATTTGGTGAAGAATACGAATTCCTACTTCTAGATAAGGAGATTAGTAATGTGTTATAATTTGCCTATCCATCCTAAACTTTTTTGAAAATTTGATTTCTCGTCCATCTTAAAAATAAAAATAATATGATATTTATAATTTTGAACTTTTGCTTTCAACTAATTCCATTCATTATATTTTCCAGTTCCGCCAATGCTTTCCATACCGAATCAATTGGAAGGCGCATATGTGGGGCAAGATGTGATGCTCGAATGTCATACAGAGGCATATCCCGCATCGATAAACTATTGGACTACCGAACGTGGTGACATGATTATATCGGGTAAGTGATCTCCTATACCAACTCATTTTGAAACATGACCATGATATATCCACATAGATCCTCCTTACAAAATCTTCGTATCTCTTCAAGAATCGAAAATTAGAAGAATTTTGTTTAAAATTTTAACTAAGAGGAGGCTAAAAAACACTTCTGATAATGTAACTAAAATCTTACGAAGCTTAAGCCAAACTTGCTTTTAGATATCTGATATCCAGGCACTCATTTATGGTTATGCCAACAAATTGTAGAACTCAGAGTTAGCAGAAAAAGAATTAAGCAAATTACCAACTTCTCTCTTCTTTAATATATTGACAACTCAGTCACAAACAGAGAACATAAAGTTTATAAATGGTCTCGATGGTGAGGCTGCATTGCTTATTTACTCATCTACTGTAATAAGTACGCAAGAAGTGAGTGGGGTCGTAATAAACTAGTACAAGACCACAACGAAACTAAATTAATTGAAATCAATTTAAATTAAATTTAATTTAGTAGTTATTAAGAAGATTAAATTAAATTAAAAAAACCAAACCAAATAAAATAAACTAAAAACAGGTTAAGTAAAATTAAATTATATTAAATAAACTAAAACAAAAAATAAGATAAAATGAAATAAAATTAGATAAAATAAAAATAAAATAAATTAAATAAAACGTATAGTAAAATAAAATATTATTTAAAAAAATAAAAAAAAGAATAAATGAAATAAAATACAATTAACCTTAATAAAATAATATTAAAAAATAAAAGAATAAATTAAAAAAAATTATATTAAATAAAAGGATGTTAAATTAAATTAAAATAAATAAAACAATATAAAATAATCAATCCATTAAAATAAAACAAAATTATAAAAGAAAAATAAATTACATAAAACAAAGTATAAAATATAAAGGATACAAAAATTAAATAAAAAGTATAACATAAAGTAAAATAAAAATAAACAAAGAAAATAAAATATAATAGCTTAAGACAAAATACATAAAGTAAAAAAATAAATTTATTTCAAATATAATTGAATAAAATAATTATAATGGAGTAAAAAAGAATAATATAAAAAAATAAAAAATAAAAAAAATATGTATTTTAAAAAATTACAATTAAATAAAATAGTACAAAATGAAATAAAATATATTAAAAAGAGTAAAATAAAATAAAACATAAATAAAAAAAGAAAAGAAACTATAAAAGTATAAAACAAACTTAAAAGGAGGAAGTAAAATAAAAATGAATTAAAATAAAATAAAATAAAATAAAATAAAATAAAATAAAATAAAATAAAATAAAATAAAATAAAATAAAATAAAATAAAATAAAATAAAATTAAATAAAAATAAGATTTAATAACAAATAAAATGAAATAAAATAAAGAAATTAAAAAAAAATAAAGTAAAATAAATAACAATAACATAATATAATACATCAGCTTTCTACACTTGAGCGAAATTAGGCAAAAATAGTATAGTGGACTAGTACTTTTTCGACTAGTTTCACATATCATTGCCAGAATTGGAGCACAAAGCCTCACACAGTATATGCACATAAGTGCATATGACAACATACAAAAGCGATCATGTATATATAATATACATACATATATTCTCGCTCAATTGTTAATGTTGCATTCATTTGTTTCGTTAACTCATTCATTTGCTGTACAGGTGACGATTCAACGAGCCAGCAAATGCGCAGAGAAAAGCAACGCGTACACGCGCAAAAAGCATGAGGTGCGTACAGAATACTCGTACGTAGCGCTTTGTACGTTAAATTGCACACGGCGTATACGCAATTGTAAATGAGTTACAAATGTAATCAACGAATTACGCGCCGTTGGCGGTTGCTTGCTCGATGCTACATGTGTACAATGCAAAGCAAGGAATGCCAATGCACATACGCACATATGTATTTGTAAATATGTACGTATGTGTGAGTGAGTCTGTGAATTCATTTGAGAATAAAAGTGCAACGATGCAGTTGGTTGTGTAGAACAACAACAGCAGCAACAACAACAACAAATGGCAGTGGCAGCTGCAAATAGCTAGAGATGTGACAAAAACAACAATAACATATGTGACATAAATAAGCACAATAAGTACATGGTAGTAAACATTACGAACATAACAACAACAACAAGAACAAAAAAGAAGCGAAAATACCAAAATTACTGAAACGGTGCTAACACAACAACGATAATAAAAATAGCACCAACAACATGAGCGCGTTATATCCATGCAGTAACGCTTTAAGCAACAAATGTCCTTTAATGTATCCGGGAAATTGCATTAAAATTCATGCAACAGCAATTGCAATGTGTGTACGTGTGTGTGTGTGTGTGTATGTTTGTCGTTATTAGTGGAAATTCTTATACATACAGGCATACATAAAAATATAAGAGTATTTATATCTAAGTATATAAGCAATGAAAGCTTGCATAAAAGCTTAAAGCGAGAGCGTTGAGCTGTCGTTTATATAAAGGAATAAACACATATGTGTATATGCATATATACTTATTTGCAAGCGCCTGTATCATGTATGCATAAATATTTGAGGGTTTACCTGGTGCTCATTTATGCATGTAAATGTTTTTATTTTTGCTTACGCTCCAATTTCCCTAGATATATATATGTAAATGTGTCTAACAAAAAGAAGTGCATAAAGCTTTATTTTATATATATGTAAGTGGAGGTTACAATACAAAAATAACTACATAAAAGCATCGATAAATATCTTTGGTTAATTCGGTAATTAAATTAGACAGATGTTAATAGGTAAAAAAATTAAAATAAAGTAAAATGATTAAAAAAAAATAACAAAAATTAAGAAAATAGTACTTAATGAAAAATAAATAAAAAGCAAGAAAAAAATAATGTTATTATAAAAAGTTAAATATAATATTATACAACAAAATAAATTAGGAAAAAAAATAAAATAGGAAAAAAAAAAATAAAATAAAATAAAATAAAATAAAATAAAATAAAATAAAATAAAATAAAATAAAATAAAATAAAATAAAATAAAATAAAATAAAATAAAATAAAATAAAATAAAATAAAATAAAATAAAATAAAATAAAATAAAATTAAATTAAATTATATTAAATTAAATTAATTAAATTAAATAAAATAAATAAAAAAAAATTAGAAAAAAATATTCTGGGCTTATCCATATAAAATCTTAAGAACCCAAGCAATCAGTATATTGCAAATTTAAAAACATTCATGTTCCTATACAAACTGAAAAACAATCAACTAACTACTATCAACAAACTTTAACTCAAGTTCATTACATATTTCCTACCCACTCAGCGCACTCCTGGAGTGAAACACTTGAAAATAGTTGAGTTGAAATGTTATTTATGCACCCAAAATAAATAATATGCGAAGGAGTTTCTATTCCGACACATCATTTCTCATTGCACACATGCGTACACACACTTGTGTGTGTTTAAACAAATATTAATACGATTCTGTGGCGCACAGACAGCTGACAGACGTGCCGAAATGACGATTTTAATGTTTAATGGGGCCGAAAGTGAACGTTTTTGTGTGGCGGTGAATGAGTTTAATTGAATGCATTTTATATAAAATAATATGTGCTTCTTTAATATACGTATGTGCAAAACTACATAAATGTCATATATAAATGGTATTTGGCGGATGTATTCATGAGCGCAAGCTTGCGAGTCTCCAGGAAAGCTTAACTTATATTTAATTTATTATTCGTTTTATTTTTGTTTACAATGCATTTACACACGTTTAGACACATATTTTGAAGAAAAAACAAATTATTTTACATTTATCTTAATTAATATTATACCCATTCATTTTTTTTCAATTTTTTTTTATATTATTTTATTTTTTTTATTTTATTTTATTTTATTTTATTTTATCTTTGTGGTCGCGGTAGTCGAGTAATTAGCATTGCGTACTGGCCCGTGGGCCAATCCTAATGTCGTATTTACATCCAACAAGTTATAGAATATTAATTTAAAATCAAAAATGAAGCAATTTTTCTAATTGCAGTCGCTCCTCGGCAGGGAATGTCAACCCCTCCGAGTGTATTTCTGACATAAAATAAAGGCTCTCATAAAAAAAAATTACCTATCAGCCGTTCGGAGGTCGCTTGGTATAAACTGTGGCTCATTCCATTTATTGGAAAAACCACAAATATGTCGAGGAGCTCGGCTGAAAATGGTTTCAGCGGTTACTAAGCGGCAATTATATATATATATATATTTATTATTTTATTATAATTTTTTCATTTGTATTTTAGTTTTTATTTTATTTTATTTATTTTATTTTATTTATATTTTTATTTTATAAAATTTTATTTTATTTAATTTATTTTATTGGATTTAACTTATGTAATACATTTTGTTCTCTTATAGTTTTAAATATTTTGTTTTATGTTCCATAATTATTTTTTTTTTTACTTTACCTGATTTGATTTTGTGTTATTTTTTATTTTATTTTGCTTAAATTTAATTTTTTTAATTTTATTTCTTTTTTGTTTATTTTATTCCATTTTATTTTATTTTGTTCAATTTTATTTTTTTTATTTTATTTTATTTTATTTTATTTTATTTTATTTTATTTTATTTTATTTTATTTTATTTTATTTTATTTTATTTTATTTTATTTTTTATATCTTTATTTTTTAATCATTTTTATTTTATTTCATTTTATGTTGTTTTATTTTATTTGATTGCATCTTATTTCAATTTGTAGTATTAATTTACATTAGTTTTGTTTCGATTAAATTATTTTAATCTATTTTAGTTAATATTATTTTTTTTTATTTCACTCAGTTTATTTTCATTAATTTAAATTAGTTTTATTTTATTTTTCATTTCGTGTTATTTTATTTTATTATGTGTTATAATATTTTATTGTTTTTAACTTTTTTATTTTATTTTATGTGACTTTTATAATATTTGTTATATTTTACTTAAATTTAAATGTTTCCTTATATTACTTTATTTTCTTTTTATACAATTTTTT